ATGATTAGTGATGTTGAGCATCTTTTCATATGTCTGTTGCCCATGTATATGTCCTCTTTGGAGAAATGTCTATTCAAGTCCTCTGCCCATTTTTTAATCAGATTTTTTTTTTTTGGTGTTAAGTTGTATGCGTTCCTCTTACACCTTTTTGCCCTCACTAGTCTCTTTTTCTCTCTTCTAAAGAAAATAATGGTACTAAATAGATATATGCTGACAGGATGAACAGATATGAAGAACCTTAGTCACAAAGCATCCAAGTAACTTGCCTAAAGACACAGCTAGGAGGGGAACTTGTATATTTTGGAGTTAACCCATTATCAGATGTATCATTGGTGAGTATCTTCTCCCATTTTTAGTAGGTTGTCTTTTTATTGATAGTTGCCTTCACTGTGCAAAAACTTCTTAGTTTGATAGAGTTCCATTTGTTTATTTTTTCTTTTGTTTCCCTTGCCTGAAGGAGATATAGCCACAAAAATTTTGCTAAGAGCAATTTCAAAGAGTTTTCTGCCTAAATTTTCTTCTAGGAGTTTTATGGTTTCAGGTCTTATATTTACGTCTTTAATACATTTTGAATTTATTTTTTTGTGTATGGTAAGAGTGGCCTAGTTCCATTTTTTTTTTTGCATGTGTCCGTCTAGTTTTCCCAGCATTATTTATTGAAGAGACTATCTGCACCCCATTGTATGTTCTTGCCTCCTTTGTCATGGATTCATTGACCATATAGGCCTGGGTTTGGTTCTGGGCTTTCTATGCTGTTCCAGTGATCTATGTGTCTGTTTTTATGTGCCTGTACCGTGCTGTTTTGATTACTATATCCTTGTNTGTTCAGCATCTTAGCTGTAGAGGGCAGTGTCACTGGCCCTCATATGTGGTATCTGAACCGGGGCCCTCTGGCGTCCCAAGCCAGCTCTTAACCAACGCGCCACTCAGCCGGCCCCATGAGGGATTCTTATTAGGTGCTAAATGTGGAGGTGGCCCATTACACTCTAGCAGCGGTTCTCAACCTTTCTAATGCTGCGACCCCTTAATAGTTCCTCATGTTGTGGTGACCCCCAACCATAAAATTATTTTCGTTACTACTTTATAACTGTAATTTTGCTACTGTTATGAATCATAATGTAAATATCTTTTTGTTTTCTGATGGTCTTAGGCGACCCGTGAAAGGGTCGCGACCCACAGGTTGAGAACCGCTGCCCTAGAGCCTGTTGTGTGTGCCTCCTGTGCTGCTTCTCTCAGAATACGTAAGGGCTTCACATGCCAAAGAAGGGAAACACACGCAGGAAAAGATTTCTTAGCCCTTTAAGCTGTTGAACTGACTTTTGTTCTGGTCCTGACTTCCATGAGTCAGCTTGGTCTTTTCTTTTTTACCACTTTTCCGAGCTATGTAGGTTATTATTAATTCAACAGGTATTTGTTGTGCTCTATTATGTGCCTGGCATTATTTTAGGCTGTGAACAAGACAAAGAAGCTCCCTGCCCTGGTGGAGTTTATGTTTTGGTGGGGAGAAACATAATTTATGTACAAATGAACAGCTAATTTAAGACAGTGATAAGTTTAATGAATTCATAGAATGTGATAGTGGCAGGGGGGGAAGATGGCTGTTTATGTCATCTGAGAAAGACATGAGGACTGAGAAATGAATGAGAATGCCAAGCTATTCGAAGTCAGGTTCCAAGTAGAGGGATCACAAGGGACAGGTCCTGAAATGACATGTTTGAGGAACAGAAAGTGAGCTAGTGAGAAAAAGCACATAGAGAATAAAGGGGGAGAGCGTAGCAGATGAAATGGAAAGATAGGTCACAAAGTGGGGGCCCATGGATCACATTCAGCCCATATGGTGTTTGAGGTTTCACTGAAAACAATCTTGACTTGCAATTTCTCTTGAAAATTAAAACTTGGCCATGCCAGGCCACTAATATTGAATGACAATAATTGGTTTCAACAGAGCAGTTACGCTCTCCTGTCCCTTCCCATCCCCTTTAATGGGAGTGTGGTCACCAGTTCATATGTGGTAGACATTTGCATTAGCAACTGCTGAGCGCTCAACAGGCTTATTAAGGGCCTGATTTTTTTGCCCCCAAGAGTAATGGAAGACTATAATGAAGGATTTTAAGTGACAGTGACTTGATCTAAAACTTTAAAAGATCGCTCTTACTACTTTGTTGATAAGAGATTGCAGCTAGGTTGGGGGAAACACGCAACAGTTAATGCAAGAGATGTTGGTGGCTAGGACCAGTAGAGACAAAAAGTGGACAGATTCTGGGTATATTTTAGAGGTATAGCTATCAGGACTTAACTGATGCTAAGTTTGGGGGCTAAGAGAATGAAGGATAACTCCCAGGAGAAAGGTCAAGTCTAGTGATATAAATTGGGAGTCATCAGTATATAGATGATATTTAAAACCATGGGAATTGGTGAGATCACTAAGGGAGGAAAGGTAGAAAATAGCATGTAGTTTGGGATTTTTCTTTTTCCCCTGTTCACATTTAAAGCTTTTAAATTCTGGTACCATACAGGCTACAAGACTTTTAGTATTAAAAAGCAATCTAGGGTCACCTATAAGCCATCATTCCTATCCATATATTTACTCAAATCCCTCTATACAACAACCAGCCAAGTAGCCAGCCAATTGGTTTATCATAACAGGACACATAATATTTCCATTAAGATGTTCAATTCTGTGTGCATAAGAAAGTGATTTTTCCTCATATCAAACTTTTAGGTAGATAAGTGTCTCTCTCTCTCCAAAAAAGCACAGTATTGAGAGTGAAAGGAGGCACTATTCATAATTACACTAAGACAACTGGGACTATCCTGGGCAAACTCTGCAAACAAAAGTAATAATACTTTAGCCATTTCTGTCTCAAGTCAACCAAATGACTTAAAAGGTGAGACGCCACTTGTCCCATGGCAAAATTAAGGATTTGGAGTTAAAAGAAATCGCAAGAAAATGATCTGCTTTAGTTCTCTCATTTTAGAGGAAATTAAGAGGTACTGAATTATTAAGCTATGATCAAGTTAGCAAGTTAGTAGCATGGGGCAGGGGAAGA